TGCTGCAGGAATTCACGTCCCCTTTGCAGTTGTTTGTGTTTTCCTGCTGTCGGAAGGTTGGAAAGAATTCACGGCACATGGGAAGAGAGAATGTCTGGAGACACAGCACCGTGTGGAGGGAAAGCTCAGTCCTTTCACACACACCCTGATCAATATGGGCTGCTAAGGGTGCACCCCCATGCCCTCTTCTTTACAGGAGCAGAAACTCTTATTCAGACCCCCAGCACAGTCACATTACAGCTTGCATGGCCCCTGTCACAAAATGTGCATTAACAGAGCCAACAAGCCCTCAGCTCGCTGCTGACCACTGACAGACACCCGTGCTCTCTACAGGGGCAGGGCCTAATCCTCAGGCTGGGAAAGCCATAGGATACTGTAGAATGAAGTAGTTTTCGCATTAGTTTCCAAAGACTCTGTAAAAGTTGTTGAAAGCAGCAGTAAGAATCATCTACTCTTCCTGCAATATTCCTCACGGATTTGCTGATGCCTCCTGCTGACTGCGGGCACAGCTTCAAAAGGCAGAGAGAGAACATCATTGTGCATTCATCTGGACCTGTGTGAACTCATCAGCTCCAGGAGTTTCATAGGAATCCGAGTGACAGCAGAGTTTAGTCCTGTGAATGCCAGAGCTGTTTTACAAAGCACAGATGTTATTTTGTTGGGAGTTTGAGTAATGCATTTTACATTGATTTGACCACTGTAGTAGATTACTTTGTGAGCTACTTAATTTAAAGAGTAAGCAAACACATGACAATTTTGCTTTCAAATCACTTGTACTAGTACATCTTAAGCAATGGGCATATTTGTCAGAAAACATGGTAAAAAAAACTATCGTGGTCCCATAACCTGGAAAATCATGCATGGATCTGCATAGTACTGGATGCAAACAGATTATGTATCTAACTTTGTGTTACCTTTTGGCTCCTTTTCCACTGCTGCAATGTTCATCTCTTTCTCACAGTGGCTGATGGATGGCACCATAGATGTTCCTTTAAGGCGTGTGAAAATTATTTTTCGATTTACTGTGGCTCTCTGAGGTCTTGCCCATATGAGGGCCATAGGTCAACTGTCCTTGAAATGCCTCTTGAGTAACCCTTTGTATCAATAACATGAAGTATCTTGAGGTAAAGTTATCCTTCCTACGTTACCTTGTCACTCTTCTGGGGCACTGTAGTGACCATTTGTGGGATTGGATGAACCTTGTCCCTTTCACGTTTCTTTTCATGTCTGAACCAAACATTCCCTCTGCTCAGAAGACCCAGCAAGAAGTTTCCTGGCTGGAAGGCATTTTTGTGAGAAACCTTCCTGATGATGCAAATTTTAAAAAAATTAAATAAATTTTTAAAAAGTGCATCCACCCACAGCCTTGAACTGCAGAGAACACAAATGAGGATTCTATAGGCAGGAGCCATGAGTGGAATCCTCAAACCTTCACCCAGTGAGAGCATTAAAGAGAAGAAAGGACACAGGATTCCTACAATTTATAATTTCTTGTGTAAATTCCCTTACCAACCTCTGGAACCTCATGCCAGCAGATTGTCAGCAAGTGAAACACAACTTCAGTGAGTGAACACAACATTTGTATTTCTCTTCTGGGAAGTCTTCAATGCCTAAATACCAAGGATGGAAGTTGAGTCAGTTCTGCTAAATTTCAGCTACCAAGATAAAAGCCTTTTATACCCCCAAACGAAGAAGCTGCTGCTGGTGGTGGACTGTCTGTTATCCCTAAATAACCACTATGTGGCAGATACAATGCAGGTTATGGCTGAGAAAGACAATACATGGCAGACCATACATGAGAGAGTTAAGAGATCTTTAAAAGCTGGAACCTTCACAGTAGTCTGAGCTACCTCCCTTTACTCCATCAGGTATATCCACAGATCACACAGGAATGATGGTACCTTCATCTCAGCTAAAGACCAGCATCTTGGTAAGATCACTGCTTAATCACTTGTGATCTGACCATGCCCTTAAATACCTTCCAAAATGGAAAATACTGGCCAGAAGACATTCATAAGTCTCTGAACTTAAATCCCAGAAAGGTGTACAAAGACTGAAGGTACAATCATTTTCTTCACAGCATGGAATGGGCGAGAAGAGCGAAGCCAGAGATGATTTCCCACTTACGCCTCCCTCATGTCTGCACCTTTTACAAATCATTACACCTCAAAGGACCTGAATTATATAATAATTTCCAGACCCATCTTGGGCTGGCAAAATACAACACTGGCTTTTCAGAGGCTTAAGCCTCCATCCATATTCAGTGTAACTTTTCTGGCAAAATTTCACTGACTATCATTTTGTATAAATTACTGTAATAACAATATGCTACTAATAAAATATGCTACCAAAACCATTCTCCTTTTGAGTTCCTGTAGTTTCTATGTATTAATGAGAATGTTACACACACACACAGAGCAGGGTAGAGTAGCCCCTGAAGTGTTCTAACTCAAGATTAATTTCTCCTGGTGGGTGACTTTGCCCTCATAACAATAATAAAGCTGTGGTACTTTATAAAATGCAAAAGGTCTCTTGAAGGTTGGTACAGGCTGTTATTCTAACCCAGTACCTTTGTGAAATTCCATCCAAATTAGAAAGATCTGGTCACTGAGAGGTACTCATAAAAGTTTCTAGACTTTAAAGTGCAAGCTGTAAACTCTGCCCAGGCACCTTTTTGTCTGTTTTTTTGAGTAACTTTCTACTGCTAATACATCAAGGCAAAGTCATCATTTGGAATAAACCTCCAGTTTTTATCACTGTTTAGTTAATTCTGTTCTTACACCTGAGATTCTAGTTTCTCAGCTAAGCCCTAAGTTAACTGAAGGGGAAAACAGGTACATACTTCATGTTTTCATGCAGTGAGAATTCTTGCAGCCATGACCAACCAACATTTTCCAAGTTCCAAGGTGAGCAGATCCATTCTGAGTCTGCCCAGAATTATTACCACAATGCATTGCTGGGGGACACTGTGCTGCAGAAAGCAGTCCTTTAAATGACATTACTACAGTTTAGAGGCATTAATTTATCTTAAATAGCTAAAAGTTTGTTACAGGATCATCTCTATTTCAATAGATACATAAATGCCTGTTGTTTTGACAGAACTCTTAACTTTTACCTCAGGGTCTTTTCCATCTGCCAGAAAATTGTGAGTCTTCAAAGCCTTTTTCTGTTGGTGTAGGTTTGTTATAAACTAACCCTTGAGAAAATTTACAGCAAATGTAAAAAATTTATTCACTCTCCTTAGATCCAAATTCTAACAAAAATCCTTGAAGATAACAGACTCAGAGGTAAATGGAAAATGATATAAAATGGAATAAAGGGGAATAAAATCTGTCACAGGTTTTACAGAGTTGCAGGATACACGAGAAACCTTGAAGGGATTTCTATTAAGATCATTTAATTTCTAGATAAATAAAATTCCAGGTGCCTACTTTAATCTATGTATCAAAGCATTTATTATGATACCACAGATATACTGAGAAGATAAGGATGGTGGTCTGGAAACAGCTGAAGAGGGAACAGTGGTGCTTCCTGCTCAAAGCGAGACAGGTGGAGATCCTCACCAGTCAGTCCTGGAAAAGTTCAGCCACAACCTCAGCACAGGAAACAGGCTGCACCTCATGCCCTCAGCCTGGGAGTGTAACAGGGGGTGACATTCAGCAGCACAGACTTCAAGGGCACTTTCAAGTTGGGATCAGTAAGAACACACGCAATCAGCAAGGAGCACTGAGCTGAGAAAAGCCAGCCCAGGACATCAGTCAAACCCTTGGTGACTGAGAATTGCTGGCATGATGCAGCTACAAAAGGCAAAACCTACACAAGCTGTGGAAAGTGAAGTATGTGCAGCAGAGACAGGGAAGTGCTGATGGCACTCTAGAAAACCAGCAATGGCAGATGTCAAATAAAGTGCATCATTCTGGCAACGTGTGTTCAAAAAAAGAGATTCACTTAAACTGCAAGGATGCAAAGAGGGCTACAAAGACAGGCACAGAGGAGGAAAAAGAAAAATTATGAAGAAGCAGTGGTTATGTTATGCCTACTGAAAAGTCACCTGGGTGAAAGGAAAGACGTCAGGGTCATCCTAATGAGGGATGAAAGGAACACAGTTAAGAAGACAGAAGTATAATCAGGATATGAATCAGTTCAGCTTGGTTATTAAGATTATATATCATCAGAGAAGTGAGTGTCTGCAATAATCTCTGTTTGAAATTGCATGGCAAAACGTTGTCGCTTTTGGAACAAGAGGATTACTCTGAACCAGAATAGGACAGTGCTGTCCAAATAAAAGCCTGGGCATGATGACCCACAGGATTTTGCCCCACAGAAGCTTAACAGTGGGATGCAAACTGAGGTTTCTGAGAGATGGCAAATATGCTGCTTACAAAAACTGCTCTTCTAGAACAAGTAGGTAAACACAAACCAAGTAATTTCCAGAGAGAACACACCAAGAATCTGGGACACTGAGCTCTTCTACCAACAGAGCTGCTGGCAAAGACTTTGGTCTTGCTGTCGCTCAGCAGAAGGGCAGTGCTGGTGTCAGATACCAGACAACATCCTCCAAAAAGAGACAGGCACACATTACAGCATTTGTGCAATGAGTCAGAAAAAAGCTGTAAATCAAGCCAAGATCCTCTGGAACAAAGCTTCTCTAGGAGTATAAAAATCTCTGCTACGGACTGAGGATCTAGGAAGGCAAATGATTCATTTGGGCTGAATTTCCCATGCTACCAAATTTATGTTGTGGTTTCCCCCCCTTCCTCAGGGGCAACTAAAGCACCTTCCAGGTGGCTTTTACAAGGCACATAACACACTGTACCCCTTTGGAGTAACACCTAATTACATGTAAGTAATTTTGGTTCTGCTCTCAATTCTGCCACAAATTCAGTGCATGACCACTGGAAAGTAACTTATTTTATTTGTATTTATCTTCAAAAAAAAAAAAATTTTCTCTAAAGTTCTTGTTTGTCCAATTAGAACATCTCAGCAATGGTTTTGTGGAGGCTTTGTAGAGCACATACCAAAATAAATAAATAAATAGCAGTTATGGGTCAACATTGTACAAACAGGAAATGGAAATGATCTTCACTAATGACACCGTGAATATATATGCACAGAAACTATAGAAATAGTAAAGGTAACTTTAAAATTTAATCAGAAAATCAAAAACAATCGAAAAATATTAGGAATGTAGAGCTCATTAGGGCAAGCAGAGTCAATGAACTGTTCAGCTGTCCAAGCACAGAGCAGAAAATCTCTCTTTTGCTTATCACTGAGTACAACGACCACTATGATCCCAGTTGTAATCAAATACATAATTGAAAGAGAACTAAACCAGAGAAATCAAAACCAAAAAACACAGGGCCAGATCTGACTGACACACCACTGACTCCAGCTGAATTAACTGGTTGGATGCTCCCACTCACTGCAGCAATCAGAAGTTAACAATTATTACCCTGGACAGCTTCCCACTGCTGATGGGACCTTTCCCATACACTAGAAAGCTTATGCACAATGACCTACCTAAGTACAACACACCTTTTTTTTCTTTCTTTTATGTCTATATAAAAATTAGATGTGTATTGTTACCCCAATATTTACATAAAGCATAACAATGAATTCGGTTGCTGGGTCACCAGCAGTTCATCTGCACAAGAGCCATCTGCATCACTGCATTTCAGTCTGTTGCAATGCACAAAATGATGTCATGGGGAACAGACTGGCTACAGCTTCACCTCTACTCACTGCTCTATTTATGAAGACTGATGACAAAAAAAACTGTAACAGGCAAATAAGGAAAACAGCATGAAATGCATCTACAAACATAGGGAACAATTATCTGTCTTGAAATGTAACCACTTGGAAATTCAGTCTGTCAAGGAACTGGACATTTAATTATTATAATCATTCTAAACAAGAACTAATTGAAACTGAAGATTCACTTTTATCTAGACTTTTGCTTATGAATTTTAAGTATGGTACCTATTAGGATATAACCAAATCTATGAAAATCCAAACAAATTACTCCCCTTCCAGTAAGCCCTCCTTATGCAGTACAAGCCTGCTTTCCTTTTTTTGAGGCATCTGAATGTATATTTCTAGCTAATGGCTAAATTCTTTTCCATATCTAGATTCAAAGAGGCAAGGAATATGTATACTTTGCTATTCCCCTAGAGAACGGATTTATTTTAGGACAAGAAAAAACTGTGCCTGCTTTCAAATTTTATCTCTTCCTCATGCTTTCCTGCCACCACTTATGAATGTAAAAGTTAAACTACCTAGAACTATCTAAGGAAATAAATCTAATTGCACAGCTATAACCAAAGTACACCCTACAATAATTGCTACTGATTCTGTAAGTTCCATCTTTTCACCTTCATACAACCTTGACAGTTACTAAATTACAGTTGAAAATACACTGACATAATTTATTAACACAGTCCCACCAACTGACTCAGCACTGGAATCAGATTTGTATTTTTATGTCGTACAGTATGTGAGAAATGCCTCAGACAATCCCATAGAATCATTTAGGTTGAAAAGACCTTTAAGATCATCTGTACCAGTTTTAACATCAGCATTTTCCTTCTATGGCCCCCTAGGTTACATTCATGACCTAAACCCCTTTTAAACAATTTTACATAGCTTAGTGTCATTAAGAAGCGTCCTTGATGCACCACAGAAGTTCAGGTGTGTGCTTCCATGAATTCCAGTTAGGTCTCAGATCCTTGGGAATCCAAGGTGCATTTCAGGCAGAACCAAATATCCTTGATTTTCTTCTTGTGAAATTATAACGTACCACTGTGTAGTAAAATCCAGGTTCAGGAACAGCAACCACAGTCGAAGGGAGAAGCACTGTCCTTTTTGCTGCCTCATTTTGCAAGTTCAAAGAATAAAGTCAGTCACATCATGACAAAAAAAAGGGTCTCTGTGCAACAGCCAAGGAACAGTTCCACATGCCGTAGTTTTGGTTTAGACTTTGCTACCGTGTTACCTAAAAAAGAAGAGGAAAGAGTTACCTACACAGAATGGGCCAAACAAGGATGACAGCACGTGCTTTGCTGCTGCAAAGGAACTCTGCACACGAACACATCATGAATGAACTTGACCCAGCCAACCTTTACACCGTGCAGAGAGGCACAATCTCCATGCAGATGTTACTTACACTGATATTCAACAGCACGAGGGAGATCTACAGATAAAGAAACGGCCATTCACCATTAAATTTGCCACCGACATCTCATGGAAATCTCCTTCTATTTCACTTTGCTTCGTGTCATTTTCAACACCAGTGCCTACAGCACGAGTTGTACGATTTACATCCCAAAAGACCATTCACGCAAACCCATTCCCAGCGGCCCATCTCACAGATGGGAGGGAACAGACAGCACACGGTCTGCAGAGGGGATAAATTGTTCTTGCAGAAGAAATCTATCCCATGGGATCCCACAGCCTCCTTCCCTTCAGATGCACACTCAGCCAGGGGCTGCAGGGACCTGTGTTTAAGCCTTAATGAACACACACAGGCACTGATCCGGCGGGTGTGGGTACACAGTGAGGAGGGTCCCGTTGGATTTCCCACCCTGGAAATGGATGAGGACAGGCAGCCTGCAAGGATGAAAGCTTTGTCAGCTCTGCTCCGTGGTGTCTAGACGTGTCACAGAACTGAAGAGATGCTCAGCATAGAGAAGTTTTTATTTCCTTCCCTGAGGGAACTGATGGAAGATACGAGCTCCTCAGCTTTTCCCATTTTAACTGTCCCACTCAGCCAGGAACTATTCATCCAAACACTGAGTAGCATCAGCAATCTCCCGAGCTTCAAATGCTTCAAGTTACACAATCTTTCTTATTTTCATGGAATGAAAATATAGAGGACTTAAAATTGATTAACTGGCATTTCCTCTTTCAGTGTATAATTAACCTGTGGAAGCCATTGTCCCAAGTAGCACTGATCCCAGGGTCTTAGAAAGCTTTAAAAATTGATTACAAATTTAAATGGTAATGAGATCATCTCTGGTGCATAACAGAAAAAAAAAATTAATATGGAATGGATCTCAACTCTTGTGTTTTAGACATAAGGCAACTTTTATACTGGAAGAACTTCATGTACGTGTACATTTTCTGTAATTGTCCCAGAGGGTATTGCTGTGTCTGATTTAAGCATCCCAGTGCTGAGACTCACAGGTAGCTGTACGGTTTGGGCTACTGGCCTGACAGTTCATATAGTCCTCTTTGTGTAAAATTTTAATAATACACTTCATAAATATTTTGCTGCTTGATCTGAGACAAACCTTTGCTTCATTTTCAAAATAAAAAACTAAGTTATATCATACTTTGCTTTTCCCCTGTTAACAATGGAAATTTTCTTTCCATTCTGTTTTCCTTCCAGTTCAAAAACACTGAACTTGAGTGCCACAAGATTCTGTTCCGAATCTGAAGCTACCATTGCTCATTATATTCGTGCAACTACTATATCTTGGTTGACAGAGAAAACCACCCACAAGACAGGCAAAATACCTGCAGGGGAAATATGGGTGCCAGGACAGATTCTGTAGCACAGCTTTTGCTGTCTAGCAAGCAGATGAGCTTGTCATCCTGGGTTTCCTTGGTACAGGAGAGACAAAGAAATACTCATGGGAACATTCTTGTGGGTGAGCACAGCCATGCTGTGAGATCACCCATTTCTCCCCCACGTGACTTGAGAGAATCCTAAAAACTCAGCTTGGATGCTTGGATGGAAATATTCCTGCAGCTGGGAAGAATGAATCCCAGTGAATCCCCTCAGATTCACACCTCAGCTCGAATGCCAGTTGTTTACTTATCCTAGCCCTCAGAGAAATCTCCTATGGTGATAAAAACTAACACAAAATGCACTCCATATCCCAGCAAAATAGAGGAAGAGTTTAGTGAAACAACGTTTGCCCTCATATTGCTACACCCTGCCCTCTCTAAGCCCCACACAAACTCACAGGAGTTGATGAATTTGCACAGGTCTAATTGCAGGCAGGATGATTTGTCCCACTCCAGCTTTATAAAGACATCCCTAAACTCATCAGAATGCAATGCCATAGTCTGTACTTCACTGGTTGCAGTATTTGTCATGGGTAATAAAATAAACGACCCGTGCCAAATTCACCCTTCTACCAGTGAACTCCCACTGACTCAGGCTGCCTCTTTTCCCTGAGTAAGAGCAAAAGTCACCAACATGGTGTGTATGATTCATGTGGTCAGTTGATCTCAGTGAACTAAAAAGGCAAATTTTCACAGCAAGGAAGAGGCAGCTGCATGAATGAAGACTTGACACGTCCGGCCTTCAGTCACCAGTGACAACATAAAGCTCCTTTTCCGCCCCTCATCCTTCTGGTATCTACTGAGGATGTCAAGGGTTTTTCAGTCTGGTTGGATTGGCCAGATTTTTTCAGTGAGCCTGACATTGTGCAATGTCTGTAACTGGGCTTCAGATTGCTAGTATCACAACACAGCTGCCCAAACCTTCTAATGTTCCCCTCTCCCATCCTGAAATTAGTGCAGTTTTCATTCCTTAGAACAGCCATTATTAAACAACATTTGGTGACAGTATTTGCTTATTAACTCAGACTGTAACCTAATCAACAACATTCAGTCCCAGCTAGAAGAGGCTGTAAAAGGAAAAGCTGAGCATATGTCTCTCCTTGCTGTTGCCTGCTAAAGACTCCTGGTTTATGACATATTTAGACATGCAGTTTGCTGTGACTTGCTGAACTTCGATGCACTGAACTCATTTTAAATTGTTAAGCAGACAGAGGAACATGATATTTGCTCTCTGCTGGCCATTATTTAAGAAATAACATAACACAGCAAAGGGTTGTTTTGGGTTTTGTTAAAAACAGGCCATCTACAGGATGGTCTGTAATTAGAAATGATCTGAACCAACCTGATTTCCAGTCGTGCTCAGTGTCACACAGTTCCTGCTGCCATCAGTGTAGGTTCTCAGCAATTCCCAAGCCATGCTGGTACTTTCTAAAGTTAAACGGGCTTTCCAGTAGCACAGGAATTTACCAGTGTCACCTAAAGTTAAACATGGAGCAATGTACTCCATCTGCAAATTGAAGAACTGATCCTGGAACATGATTATCCCTCTAGCACTGGTCACAACAGAATAATTACTTTGCCCACTAGAGACTGAAGCAGGGTCTTCTTCAGTTTGACTCCAGGAGTGAAGGGGCTGTTCTGACCCTCCCTGAGAGCAATTACATTAATCACTGCTTCCCAAAACACTGTGGAGGCTGGTACTGATGCTCACACCCACAGATGCAATGCCATAAGCAAGAGCCACCTTGAAATATAGGCCATCTCTGTACTTGCCTTTGTGGTTTTGACTTTATTTCCACTGCTGCAAGACCAACCTGAATAGTCTGGTAGTACTTTACAGTCCTCTCCATCCAAACAGGGGTTCATATGACACCACCACTTCTGTAGGACAATGGAAGCTAGAAACAGGAGAGAGAAACAGGACAGAATATCTTCATTACTATTGGTTTTAGCAGGGAGGTTTGTCTGTGCCATCTTGAATTGCTTGGTTTCAAAAGGCAGCACCAACAATTACTGTTTTAACAGTGAATCACACAGAGTGCTTTTGAGCTAAAAAGGTGGCTAAAACACTTCTCCAGCCCTCAGAAGGGTAAATGCCATATGCAAATGGTGAAGACAGGCAAGCACCACCAGAGACTGACTCCAGCATTTGAATTGACCTCTGGAAGGGCCTTTCCATCTCCACTGACTACAAAAATTACTTGCCTCCTTCATTTACATGCTTCAGTCAAGTACCTGCTGCAAGGTGGAATGAAGCTGAGGCTTCCTGTTTAACCCAGATATGCATATGCAAGACTGGAGGTAGAAATGCCAGTTTCTCCCTTCACTGGGTGAGAAAATGGAATTGCACAGAGATATAACCACATGAGGTCTGTCAGCAAATAGGGCAGGTAAGAATGTGGAAACCACTGGCAAGCATTAGATTATCAACTAAAAATCTACTTGCAGTTACAGTGCCAGTTTTGCAAAATGTTTTGGAAGACTACAGTAGTACACCTTAACTGTGCAAATCTATTAATCTTCTACACTTAAGCCAATTTCTATTGATAAGACCATGCCTGTTATTTTTACAAACTAGTCATGACTTTATGAAACTGCTGGTAAAAAGATATATACTTTCCCACAAACAGCTGCAAACATCTACATGCATTTCTCAGTTTTGCATCGTTCGTGGGACTTACCGAAACCCAGAAAATTATTACGAATTATGTCAGTTCACAATCCTACATAATTAGATTGAATTTCAAAATAAAATATGGTTTAAAATGTTGATTTAGCTAGTCTGCATTATGCCATTATGTGCACAAACTGTTGAACTGCATGCTTTAAAGGATAACACACTCAAAAGATATGAACAAAACTAACAGCCTACTTCAGGTAAAGCACTTCTTTCCTTTTAATTTTAAGGCATGTTTGTCAACCTTTAAATTAGGGTGACAAGCAGGTAAGATTGACATCAGGATATTGCTGAAGTGTTCATTCAATTATTTTGTTTTGCACTTTCACTCAAAGCCTATGTGAAAAGCACTGTGAAAAAATATCCTTCTGGAACAGCAGTTTGGCTTTCATAAACTAATCTTTCAGTCTCATAACGTTATAAAATCAGTGTATGAACGAGTGTGAACTTTCACCAGACGTTTGTATCTCAGATCATTTGCATTAATGCTGATTGATTGTTGACAAAGGGGGTGAAACTTGACTGTGCTTCAAAGGAGGTGAGGGATCATTCCCACTCCAGGCATATGGTCCAGCCATCTATTTTATCTCTGCTACTTTCTAAATTTATTCCAATTTCTATACCATGTTTATTTTAGGTAAACACAGAAGCCTGAGGGCACATGCACAGGCCTGTGAGGAGGCAAGAGATCCTGGCAGCAAACCAGCTGTGATTTCAGAGCTCTGCCTCAAAGCCAGCGAGTCCTGGGAGTCCTGGCTGCATCACCACAGCTCTGCACAGGAATGCTGGGAGCAGGGATGCAGTGACACACTGAGGCTTTGCCTGCACCCTGACGTGGGAATGTGCTTTCATATACCTCAAAACATAAGTTCAGATTCAGATCTGGAAGTCACCTGTTTCCTGCAGGTATCTAGAACCCCTTGTGCCTCAGTTACTCCGATAGCTCCTTTAGTTCCATGGATTCTCGTGGGATTCCTGAGGATCAGGCTGGCAAAACTCTAGTTACTGGCTGTCCAGAGGTGTTCTCCAGAGAATGATTTCTCCTTAGAATGCCCACCAGCCCCACAGAGCCAAGGACATGCTGTCACTGCCCCACTGGGCAGCAGCACGATTTTTGTCAGCTTGTTTGGCAGTTTTTGTGGGGCTCTGTTTTTTAAAGAAAAACAAAACAAATAAAACCCCCAAAACCAAATCAAAAACAAACAAACAAAAAAACCCCACAAACAACAAAGCAAAATAAACACCTGTGACATGGTCTGAAATAAAAGCCAGGAAATTTTCCTCCCTTTCTCCTTTCCTTCCTCTCACAAGCAGCCAAACTGGCGCAGCTCAGAGGCAGGAAACCTTCACTGAAGGAACAAGGGAGGAGAGATGGGGCAGAGAGGCCGAAGGAAAACTTCCTCAGAGAGCCCTGCTTTTGGCACCTTAGGGATTTCTTTCCCAGGCAGAAAGAGGGGTGAGGACAAGGTCACAAAGGGTGGAGTAAAAAAGCTGGTGTGCTGTGGTAGGGAGGGCTGGGTGATTCAAGGTAGGAACTACAGGTACCAACCACCATGTGCATGATCAGCAGCAGAGGGAGAGTTGCTGATCTGATGTAAATGATCAGTACTACTGGATAACATCTGAAGTTCAAAGAAAATAAAATAGTACCACAAGACAAGTGCTTTATAAAATCTTTTGGTTAGAAAAGTAACTCTATGCTTGGGGTATCTCCTTCCCTTTAAACTCAGGGCAAACTATAGGCAAATTAAGCAGGCATGCATTCAGGAAAAATGTGCTGAAAAAGAAAACTAAATATCTGTATCAGATTGTAATATGCAAATTCAAGACACAACTGTTTCAGGCTTTCACAGTGTAGAAACCTACTGAAGGATATGTATAGAGTGGGAGAAAACACATCTAATCCTGGGGCTAAGGATAGAGAGTGAGTTCTGTGGCACAGAAACTATAACTGTAGTCCCACATGCCTGCAAAAATAAGTGAAATCTGCTAAAGCACTACCCTAAGGGGTGAGGGGGAATCAAAGGCTTCTACTTTAAAAATCAAAATCTTATATTCATAATATTATGTTGCATTTAATTTCAAACTATACTTTAAGAAAAAAAACAGCTACAAAATTCCTTCAGCAATTATTGATTCAATCAAGTTTCTGCAATATTTATAGAATTCTGCCATAGAATGACAGTTTTACCTTTGCCATCCTTAAATTAGTTTAAAATAATGTCTGACTTCTATTACCTGTTACATGTAACAGCATTTCTGCTGTTTGATGTGTCACCTAAAAATACAGAGGATATTTCTGATATAACAAGAAAACTCCCTAACAAATTGCCCAGTTAAAGTTGATTGTATTCCTGAATTACAAGGCATGAAAAGACCAAGCATCTAAAAAATAGAAAAGAAAAATCTACTTTCTTCAATATCTTCTTTGAGAACCTCATAATAAGTTGAGTTTTTTTAAATAAAGAACAGATTCACATGCACTTAGAGTTTTATGTTTGAAACTAAATATTTCTGAACACTAGATTAAAATTGGACTTTGAAGCTTTTGTTTTATTCTTGACTGAAATGGTTGCAATTTTATGCAAAAAGAATAAAAAGAGAAGAGACTTGCTTATAAAATAGAGAATACTGGTAACTTTGAGATTTAAAAAAAAATATATGTGTCTTGTAGACAGAGTAGCTTTACTACGTTAAGAACAAGAGCAGCATCCTGTCCATGGAGTAGACTAAGGCAACTGGGCCCCATTTTCCCTTCCCCAGGGAGGTGTCCTAGCTCAGACACTGTGTCCTGTGCAGCCCTGTGCTTGCTTCACTCTCCAAACTCTGAAATACTTGGGATTGCCACACATGGAACTGAATAGACTTGGGGCATCATTGTAGCACTGGTGTCCAGTGTAAGAGCCCATTATGCACATTAAATGGTGAAAAGAGAACAGCTCTCAATATCAGATGTCCAAGCACTATCTGCATGCCCAGCCTTGGGGTTGCATTTATTATCTGTTGAGTTTTAGCCAAGCTCCTCTGTCTTAAGACACCTGGAAGAGTTAATACCCTAAGCTCGAATTTCTTGGCTTATGCAGTTTTCGGACTAGTTTTAAAGGAGAATTCTTGTGTGGAAAAAATTAAGGAGCTTTATTGGCACAGACACAAAATGGGCTAGTACATATATTAAGAGGATTAATTACACCGAGATTTATGCACAGACTCATTATCATCAACGCGCAGAGATGTTTCCAAAATTAACAAAAGGAAAGGATTATGCTTTAGAGGCAGTGGGAAGTCAAACATCAAGGAGACTGAACTCCTCAAACAATCTTAATGAACCACGAGCGAGCAGGAGGCTGCTTACCTTCCACACACGAGGGCTGGGCCCGTGTCGTCCCAGCCACCTGCCCCGGGAAGCAGGAACACTTCACCGTCTGGGATCGCTCCTCGATCCGGTTCTTATTGCAGCAACGGTGCACGGCCACAACCTCACATGTCCCTTGCTTGACCTGGTGCTGGCCTAGTAAATGCAGAGACAAACGATGGAGAGCAAAAACAAAACATCGGCGCGCAAAGGAAGAGACATTTCCTGCAGTCCCGCGAGGTGCTCATTCCCCCCAGTGTCAGCCTAAATCCCAGGAAGACAAAGAGGCAAAGCATCTTGTAGGATCTGGCTCATTCCTTGAGTTTATCCTATTCCTCCTAACAAAGATTAGTTCATCATAAGTCAATTTTTCAGTCTATCTTCCCTGGGCTTTACAAAGCCAGGGGGAGAAAAGGAGGTTGGAGAGGTCAATTAGATACGAAGACAAGACATGCAGACAGAACACACCCTCCCTTCCTTTGGCTTCCTGTGTTCCATTAGGTTTGATATTCAATTCTTTCCCTTCATAAATAGACAGGATAATATTTAATGCAGGAGAAACTTATCTTAAACAGTAGGGAAACTTTCCAACACAACAACATGTAAGCACTGCCTGTTGCTTGCAGACAACAAGAACAAGGCAGGCTGAAAAGCTGCCATGGACAGTCAAGTTTTGTCAAAAAAGAAAAGAAAAACACCCAAATGTATGGATTTCTCAAGTTCCCTCCTAGAACATTCTGAATAAACCTGTGATAAATATTCTATAAATATTCTATGCTCACGAGTGCATTTCCTCACAATTCCCTGTCCCTTATTTCTCTGAGGTTATTTTCCCCATCTGACCTCACTGCTCCTTGCACCTGACCCTTATCCTCCACTGCCAGACTTACTCTCTGCCCTGCCTAAAACCCTTTCTCAGAAACTCCACAAACCCCTCTCCTCTTTGCATAAGTCCTTTCCACGTCCTCACTTCCCTGAACAGCCTTCAAGTGCTTCATCTTGCATTTGTCTTGTCCTATTTAGAGCAGAGCCTTGGAAGGCTCTTATCTGTGTTTGTAAAGCACCTTGTAAATTAACAGCACTACAGAACAGGGGGAGTTATTTCATAAGTGAGCTAGACAGAGAGACAAGGCTGAGAATAATAAAAATAGTCACCATCAAAGCAGTACAGGCTCCTGATATGAGAAGAGACAACAGCACAGTTATTGGTGTAGGTGTGGCTGATATCAAAGGCACAGAGACTCAGGAAAGGCAGGGGAAAGGGAGAGCACTCTTCAGGAACAGACAATCCTCCAAGTGGCAAACAGGAGGCTTTTCACTATTCACTCCAGGTTTGCTCTGTTTGGGGTTTGTTGTTTGGAATGGGGTGGTTTTTTTTGGTTTCTGGATTTTTTTTTCTTTTTTTACAAAATCTGTTGCTAACTAATATCAAACACAGTTTATCAGCAGACTGAATTTTCATGCAAGCACCTAACATCCATATCATAATAAACTTGGAAAAAATGAAAAAAGCTACTAGTCCCTAGGACAGTACCTTCTCTGTAAGTCAGTAGGGAAAACAAATACAGAGAAGACAAGGTAAATTGGCCACTTCATTCCAAATTATGGTTCCACACAACACCTTGCATGACAAGGCTTGGCTTGGACTTAATAAGGTGGCACGGGGTTCTGATAGAAAAGATTTGTAAAAGTAGGTTGTTAATTTAAGAGAGTGTATTTATTTAATTATCTCTGCATTAGATCTACAGCCTGAGCCAAAACTCTTTGGAGTAAACAGGAAAAACTTCCATTAGTTTCCTACAGTGCTTACTGTGGTGATCCCTGCGTTCACTGGAGTCAACAACAAAATTTCTATTGACTTCAGGAGAGAAAGGTCACTTTGGACTGTCTCTTGAGAAGGAGATTTTATAATGGAGGGAAGAAAAAGCAAAAATTTTGAACTGCCCAGGCCACATGTTTGCCATGTATCTCATCTGAAAGACCAAGTGGCCAGGTCTTCATTTTAATTAAAGTCATTAGTCACCAGATATCAGATGCCAAGATAAGAGTAGAAGTCTTTTTTCCAGACAGTACATCATAAGGATGGACCAGATCCAGCTCCAACAATCAGTATGTAGCTGCAAGAATATCTGTTTTCAAGCTCAAATCCTGCTTCCCTCAGGTGAAGAGTCCTGTTAAGCCAACACCAAAAGAAATCAAACAGGTTGGCCCCAAAAACCTGGGGCTGTCTTTCAATTTTGTTGTTTGAATTTTAAAGCAGTGACAGCTCTGCCCTGAAGTACCAGGAGCCAACAGAGACACTGCTGTTTGCAGAAGGCAGGATTAAGTCACCTCATCAGTGCACCCTTTGGTTTAGTAGCTGTTTTGGTGTCACTTGTTCACGCTTTGCAGCTACACAGGCAGGTGAGAGGAGGTGTCCCCTCTTTATCTGCTGGCAGAGGTGGGATGTTAAGGGTTGAAAGCACCCAAAGGAAGACAGAGCTCTCCTCCCTTGTCCCCAGTGCACAGCTCTTAAGGAGCAGAACACTAAAGGAACTAAAAAGCCACAGACATCTGCATGCATCATTTGCATTAATTGGATTGCCCTTGTAATAGTCTTTCCCCTCCTACATGTTCTCATCAATATTTCCTCCTGCTTGTTCACACACACATCTTAACACTTTTTATCCTGCTGAACACCATACACATTTCTTAATATTCAGACCCATCTGTGAACAGGTGCGGAACAAGTGCTGAGGGTTAACCTGGTGGCTTCTGGTCCTGTTTTTGCCAGCTTTCAGCAACCTTGAGGATAAGCACTCTCCTTTGCTGAGTGGTTTTTACACTTAAGAAAAATCACAGGATATCTTAACCAACCACCAACTCAGTCTATTGCTACCAACATCTGCTGAGGCCTGTTGTGTCTGCATTCAGGTGCCCAAAGGCAGCAAAAAGAAGGTATATAAGAATACTCTCCTGAATGTTTTACTGTTCATCTTGTACTAAATAAACCCTCATCTCAGGTTTAAAGTACATTCAATGTACAGCTTGAGAGTGTACTGACAGAAACACTCAAGAACAGCCTTAGAGTGTTTTATAACTGATGGAGTCCCTGGAAGCCAAGTCATTTGAGGAGCAGGGACTGAAGAGCTTTTAAAATATGAAGATCACAGTAAGTGAATTCTACACCAGACACATCAGGAAAGCCATTTCAGGGAGAACTGCAGTGAGGGAACGGGACAAAGCCAGGCTGTGGAGAGCAAAGCCCATAAATTCATAGCTCATCACCTGTAAACCTATTCAGATCTGCAACTTCAGGGCTGTCAATATTTGTAGTTGAAATTCAGTTACACCTTCACATTTAAATAAGAGAACTCTCCAAAGAGACCTACATTTTACCAGAGAAAGGTTCCTGTCATGGAACACCTCCCAGATATCAAGGACAGAACATCTGCCAGCCGGGCACTGCAGAGGATGGGGAATGAGGGTTGGAACCTGTGGGGCTCTGGGTTACCTCTGAGCAGGAGTTTGGCACATGTGTTGTTATCCATATCCCAATTTCCATACAGTTCAGCTTCCCTAGAAATACCAGTGTTAATCACTGAGGACACTTTCCTTCTCTCTCCATAAAGGGCACAGACAGAATGGGACAGGACTCCCTAATGGAAGCAACCTCCAGGACACTCCCTGTTGTGAATTTTCCTGCCTTCCATTACGAGATACCTACAGATAACAACAGGCCTCAGGTGCCCAAGTCCAGAATGCCTCTTAGTGACCTCAAGGAGTGGCCAAATGAGTGTTCTGTGACCATTTCTTTGTTATCTGTAGGGTTTTCAGCCCAGAAGGATGTACCCTGCAGAGCTGAGAAACAACCCCCAGAGTACTTAGAGCACACAGCCATCATCACTGAAAAATAGGAAAGTACAAGACAGGAAATTATTGGCTTTCACATTACAAGCCAGCACAAGTGTTGTGAGTAGAGTTGACTCAATAATCACCACTGAACTGTTTATTCTCAGTTTAATACTTTCTTTCAACTAACGTACTGGACAAGACCGTATTTTCACCTTCTTCCTAGAAGTCAGAGGGCAGATACTTAATTAAAGCTTCTAAAACTCTTCAAAATGCTCAAATGAAAAGAGGGAAATACAATTATTGTTAATAAAATATCAAACACTGTAGTGCCGTGCTTCAGAACTACAAGGAGCTTATCAAAGAAAGAGGAAGGTTTTCAGAAGGTTGCTAACCAAATCTGTCCACATCCTTTTCATCTCTGAGACTAATCCTAATCACTCCCAAGGAGTGCTGTTCCAATGCAATATACATGCAGGCAGCATGCCTCCATCAGAAATTCTGAGCAACCTCCTCTTTTGCTACTTTCTTAGCTAAGAAGCCCAAGGAAAAGACAGATTTAAAGGGAATTTTTATCTCTGTTTCATAAGTTGCCACTTCTGATGAAGACAGCAACTGTACTGTGGAGAGCAGAACATCTTGGGAGTAGGACAACACGAGCCCAGCTCAGCACATTCCTCAGAAAGCCTCAAAACCAACGAGACTGGTCTGCACAAAATCAACTGCATCATTTATTTAAAGGGTAAGAGGATGGCTGTCAATAGGAAGATGAACAGCTTTGGAGCCAAACATTGCAGACATCATTAGGAGAAACACTGATGCTGTTTGGAAGGGGAAGGCACTCTAAAATGTTGGTGCCAGTTCATCATCTGTTCTGCCTTCATTTCATGCTGGCTTTTGCTTACAAATATGTGAACTTGCAGAAGTACACACCAAAAGGCAAATATTGTTAGAAAAACACATATATTAAAGGAAATAACATTTGCTATTTTTCATATTATTTACCAAACATATTTACAAGACCCTCTCCAGCTCAGGGGGTGCTTTGGGGTTTTTTTTTGGGGGGGGGAAGCAGAGGAGGGGTGTTTTTAAAGATAAAAACTCTTCTCAAGAGAATAAGCTAGAAGTCATTGAGAGGTGAAATTAACACACCATCTTCTAGGCTGAGAATTTCAGCAGAACTTTATTACCATTCCATCAGCCACTGGATTTTTTTCATAGTTTCACATTCACGTCATAAGGTTCTGACTTAAATGTTCTTCCTCCTCAAGGATATAGACTAGATTTAGATAGATAGATAGATAGATAGATAGATAGATAGATAC